CTATGCTATGGGGTCATAGAGGTACCTGAATGCCTCACACTTTTTGGAGTATTTATTCATGCAATACCCCCATGAATTAGGGCAGTTATTTTCAGAAAGAATGGGCACTGAGGGACAAAGGTGTTAACTGACTTACCTAGCAAGGTGTAGGTAGTCTACAACAGGGGTTATCAACTGCGGGTAAATGGGAAGGTCCTAGGGGGTATGTGCGGGCAGACGGGGATGGAGTGCCATCACCCACCACCCCATGCCCCCACCTCCCAGGAGCAGGGCTGGGGCAAGCCGAGGGCAGTGGCGCTCTTCTGTGGGCCGTGCAGGCACTGCTAAGGTCCAGTAAGTGCTTCTCAAGCCGGATGCAGAAATGAAGAATTACTGCAATCTGTCCTATAAGATCACAGTAACTGGAGTTAAACTGGTTATCTGGCTCATCAAATCAAATCTGTAAGTCCATTTCAATATTTCATGATCCATTTTAATCCTTAATTGATTTTTGCATTTTATTTTAGGCAAATGTGAGCCTAGCAGTTTGTGTGTGTGTGTGTGTGTACCTGCATGCACACCATTTCTTCAGAGAATTTCTTCAGAAAATTTACATGACAGTTGTGGCATAGGCTTCAAAGTCCAAATCTTTCCACAGCAACTATAGGTTGTTAAGATGTGAGAAGAGTTCATTTTTGGAAGCTTTTGTCCAAGCCTTACTGAGAGCAGAATTGGTGTGGTTGGACAAATGATAAATAGCACCAATATTCTGATTGTTTGGTCACCTTATCTGCATCCTCTTCTCTTCAGGGGCTCATGCTACCATGATCAAAATAATTTGGGTGCTAAAAGACATTTCTTTGAACTATATATCAAACAATGCATTTGAAAGTTTCAGGCACTGGTTGCCTCAGAGCTTTTTGGGAACATCAAAGTGGAGTAAATTAATAAAGTATGCAAGTAGTCTGAACGATAAAAATTCTATCCCACAGCCAACCTGTATTTGTAAAACTAAGTGTTTGTCAATGGTGTGTCACTAATAAGCTTTACATTACTAATGTAATGAAAGACTTCAGGATACTTTCTAGTTTGTCATCTACTGGTATAAAACTGAAGAAGGTTACAGACATGTAACTCCATTGCAATGCCATGGGTGTGAGTGAAGCAAAATATGACCTCTTGACCTGTTCTGAGTTACCCATTTGCAACTGAGAACTGAGTAAGGTTCAGAGTTCAAGTGTTACAAGATCCTGAGCTGAATTCAAGTACAGTTTATAACCTCCCCCGCCTCCCCCACTGAAATGGAAAATGCAGTATGTGGGGGGAGATGGTAAGAAGGGAAAGGCAGTACTGTGTATTAAGCTGGGCATTTATTAGTTTAATTTGGCTATTCTGATCTTTTTTATTGTAAACCCAGGCAGAACATTCATCTTCCATTACATTTAACTTTGTTGAAAGCAATTCACCAGGTGCCTGGAAAGCTGTGGGTCCTGTGGAAACTCTTAATGTTTTGTGTAATTAATGTGTTGAGAGTACTGGGTACTTAAACACTGATTACCTTTTCACATGCAGGGAATATCTATGAAGGTGTTGTACCTTGATGCCAACGTACTGCTAGGTGAATGTTCTTTTAGCCCTGGGACACGGTCTCCATTTCCTTCATACACAGAGCTCGCATCAGTGTATGCAGCTACTTCGAATGTACAGCAGTACAAAGAGAGTGCCTAATCTGCCCTGGTAAATCTTAGGTTTTGTGCTAGCCCTGTTCTCATGACTATCTTGGAAAAATCCTGAATTGCTAGGCCACAGGATTCTCTCTTTGGTGTTGAAAGCTGTACTTATGAATTCAGACAATTCATCTGAATTGAACTTGAGCTAAATTTGCTTTGACAGAGAAGTATCATTCATTAGTTGGTACATGTGGCTTTATAACCTAGCCCTTTCTATTGAGAAAGAGAATGCTGTATTCCTTCCAGATGTTCTATGCAACCAACTGACTCAAAGGTGGGGGCATCAAAACAGTCAATTCTGAGGTTTAGCTACTGCCGATTGTTTTTAAAACAGTTTCTCAGGCCCAACAAGAAATGTAATGTTAGTGCAATGTCAAGAATGTTGTGCCACTCCTATTGTAACAACCAACAACTTAGGGCCTTGGCAGATAGGACAATCATGATGTGATTAACTTTGTCAATCATGCCAGAAATAGTAACCTGGACACACATTCAAGGAATTTAGTGATATAACAAAATGAGCAAACAGCCATAAAAATGTTCCACAGAATAAGTGAAATGTTTTTGTGGCTGTTTCAAACGTACTCTGCCCTGGGGCCCAGTGCTGGTTGAACAGCAAGCCTTGGCTGTCAGCCACACAGTGCAGCTCTGTATGAGACGGCACCCCATGACTTTAGCTTCCTGTCCTGAAGACCTGTTAGCTGATGGGCTCACCCTGCTTTGGCACTGTGTGGTTTTCAGCATGTGGATGCATGGGGAGGCCAACAGCTGACCTGGGATACCAAGCTGTGGCTGTGGGGCAAAGTGAATAACATGCCAGACTATGGGGAGCCATGGGGCTTTCTGCAACCTGGCACTTTCATAATTCTTTCCCTGCAGCTCCTGAGACGTGTGGGGTAGTGCAGCTAAACAGCCCACTTTGTGCCCAGTTGCTTGCTGGG